TTAAAAAATTGTTATTTTTATAATGAATATGATGCGCAAATTACACCTAAGCACAAAAGTTGACAAATGTGGTCTTAATTGTTAACATTAAAACCCATCTTAAATATATTGTCGAGATTGATTTTTCAACAATTGTAAATTTTTTTAAAGGTAAAACAAAAAAATAATGATAGATGAAATTAAAATTTAAGACTAAAATTTAAAACTAATGACATGACATAAATTTTGTCATTAAAAACATTAAAAATATATTTTATATTATTTAATAATTAACTTTTTTATTATCTTAAAACTCATAATATTATATACATTAACTAATTTAATAACGCAACATTATTGGTCTTAAATTTTCATCTTTCCTATCATTACTCAAAACAAAAACCTTAAACAACTATACCATATAGTGTTTGAATTGTTGTGTGACATTCAAAATTAAAAAATTAAAAATTAAAAAAAAAAAAAAGAAAAAGGAATTATTTGGCAGAATAAACTGACAAAATGCCCCCAGCATAACATTGCTGTTTTACAGCTTGTTAACTTACTAGCAGAGAGGTGTGACAGGTTTCAAAAACAGGCAAGCATATATGAAGTCAATCTAAGATTACTCCTCTCAATTGCACGTATATCCAAAGATGAGTTGCAAAGTAAAGACAGTCCTGAACCTGTTCATCTTATCATCTTGTTAATGTGGAGGCGATGAAGATGAATAGAAAGCTGCATGGTAAGATGAAGACGCAAGTTGGGCTAGGGCTGGAACTGAACCACCTGTAGATTTTCAACATGTATCAGAAATTTCATTAGACAGCACCGACTTCCAAGCATGCATGACATTACAAAGCAAAGAAAGATTCACAAGGACTACGCACTAGGAGTTTTTACCACCAAAAGAACTGAAACCAGTATGGGCTTAATTTTCTATGGCACCATAAAACCAAACTAACAACAATAAATGCTCTCTCAGTTCCATAATAAGTGACCTCTTACAAATGATATCCCATTCAAGAATTCCAAAGTTTACTTCTTTTCTTTCTAAATCATTCTTACTGATTTTGGAAAGAAACTATACTAAAAAGACATTTATTATGTCTACTGTATCTATCTTGCAAAAGTAGGCTTTCAGGCTTTTGTTATTACAAATTATTTAGCTAACACAAGCTGCAGGAAGGTATCAACAGGTGATGTATGTCATAACTAAGATAGTAGTGCTTGAGATAAAATTTATACCATTTTGCTTTCTCCACCAAGAAATGGATGATCACAAAATAGGACTTTGTCTAATCATATAAAAATTTATTTGTTCAACATTGGTTTAGAAGACGGTGAAATAAAGAGTAAAACTTTCACTGCAATAAAAGAAGATTCTTTCAAAATAGATAGTAGATTTTTTTTTTTCTTTAGATACGTAGATTCTAGATCATTTGAAAAACCTGAACCTTCATATCTTTTTGGGGGATTGTATTTAATATTTTAAAATTAAGTTAATAAAATAAAATGAAATTGTGATTGCTGCAGCATCGTAGAAAGATACAAAGGTTCTGGATTATTTGAAAAACCTGAAACTTAATATCTTTTCAGGAGGCTTTTACCATCACAATTTTATATTCTTTATTAACTTATTTTAAAATATTAAATACAATCCTCTAAGTTTTGTAAGACCAACTAAAGACAGCAATCTAATCTAACTAAATATAGAGCAACTAAGAATTTATGCCAAAAAATGTTTGAAATACTTTTGGAGAAACATTTCCACAGGGTAAGGGTCTTGTAATTCACCAACATTTAAAATAGAAGCCACTGAAGAGAAAACTCTAACCTGCCAACCCTGCACAAGCTGAAGAGAATACTATTACTGGTGGTGCCTGCATTAATACCAAGATTCCTGGATAAGTTGATATTGTTTCCACTAAAGAAAAGATAGTTGATATTGTTTCCACTAAAGAAAAGATATGGAATGGTACAAAGTATGCTGCTAGTTCAACCCATAATTTATCCAGAAAAGAAAAAGAAACATTAACATTTTTCTTTGAAAAATCTGACAATGCCTCAACATAGAAATGCCAACGGCAAAAAGTGAAATTCCATGCAGCATAGAGTAGGTTTGCATGCTTGTCCAACCACATCAAGGTATGCTGGATGCTAGAACAGGAAGATAAAACCAAAACATCTAACAAGCTTACTTTTAAGAGCACATTACTTTAATTTTACATGGACAGCATGCAAAACTTATACTTGTTAAATGCCTTGATATGACAGAAAGAGAAGGGAATGTGCAATGGGTTAGCGTGTTTAGATACGTGAAGAAGCATCACAAGGACTTTAAAATGTGTTAATCTTATTGGACAACCTCTAGGAAGAATTAAAAGATACTAACAGCCCCAAAAGTGCAGCCACAAACACAAGGAAAGTTTACAGCTTAAGAAAAGAAGAGTTAGGGCATGCCATAGCTAACCAAACTAGCAGGTCACAAGCTCAATGTAAAGAAGAAGAGGAGCTCATTAATAAGTACCCAGAAGCAGAGCTCAACTAATAACACAAACCTCAACTCATGGATCATGGTGTATTGTCATGTCATTTTCTTAGCTATTGTATTCCATACATGTGTATTTAATAATAAAAAAGGCTCCAGCGCCATTCCCCCTCAGTCCCCTTAGCTCCACCTATGCAACCAATTAATCATCAAACATCAACCCTACTTAGAAAAGAATGACATCCATGGAGCAAAATTTAAGCTACTTCACTTTCAAATGCCAATAGCCATCTTACATTAGGCTGAGGATAAAGGGCCCAAGAAAACATACCAGTACGTTTGGTCTAAGGGGAGGGGAGGGGAGGGGAGGGGAAGGGAGTCCTTATATTTTGCTTTTAATTCCTTCAGTTATCCAATATCCTTCCATTCTCTCCCCTCCCCTCTTCTCCCCTCCTTCCTGTTTCCCTTGAACCAAACATACTCTAAAGTAATGGATTTGAAAGTAAAAACTCAACGAAAATAAAATAATATCGACGAATTCAAGTGTGCAACAAAACAAAGTGTGATTTTTGAATCCCAGTACAGCTATGTATTAAGCAATCAATCCAACATACCCAAGTTTTTAAAGCCCAAAGCTAAAAAAGCAATTGCAGGATTCTAGAGTCGCCAAGAATTTGGAAAATAAATACAAAGTACAAGGTGGATAAACCAAGATATTCAACAATTGGCAAGTTAAGAAACTTACACCAAGAAGGAAATGCACCCACAGTGGTCCTTTTACCCATCTTCTGACAGTTGGCATCACTGCACGAAAAAAAACATGTTAAAAGAGTATTTTTTTTAACCACGGTACAATGAAAAAAATTACTAAAAGGAAAAAATACAATCATAGATTGTATTAACAGCAACAACTACACTATTTTGAAAGGTGACAGGCAGTCATAGGGAAGACAAAGGACAAGATAAGAGATTACAAGCTTGAAGAGTTTCCAGAAATTTTTGGTGTATGCTTGTGCCTATATTTTACAACCAGGCATTGGTGGTGATTTGGAGACAAATTCTTAAAAATCTAAACTTGAAAGTACATTTACCTTTAGAGCTCTACTGCTGCCTCAAATCCAGACATTTTCTCAAAGAAGGAAGAAGGGATATACTGCCTTGTTGGCCCACCTTAAACATGCTATTTATAATTTAGAAAAGCATCAAGGAAGGAAGCCATTCAAAAAGCCCAAGGAGTTTTCTAATTTCTTGACTTAAATGGCTAGCACATCCAATTCATCAAAAGGGCAAGGTGAATACTTTGTAGATCAAGTACAAATACACTTAAACATAATTTGATTTCCTCCCATGAACCATCACATGTAACAGCTATGTCAATCATTAATTACACTATGACAACAACAGATGCAGGAAGAAAATTAAAAAAAGATGTACTTAACTATAAAAATAAGGGGAAAGAAGAAGCAGGTAAAGGCAATACCATGGTTGAAGCCATAGAATGCGCTTGCAGTCCCACCAACAGCAGAGCCAATCTAAATCACAATAACCACAGAACATTAGCACAAGAAGAAGGAATATGGAGCAAAAACTGAAAACCCCACATTGCATCATTACAACAAAATTTATTATAGCCAATGACCTAAGTGGCCCAGAGGTAATCTCCTTTCGTAGGAAGTAAGAGGTCCTAGGTTCAAGTCATAAGCATGTGGGGATGCATAATGGGATGGTGGAGGATTGCCTCCCATTGATGCAACCCAAAATAAACAATTAAAAGAAGAAGCAAAAAGAATTATAATTTAGAGTTCCATTAAACATAGATTAACTAAATTTCCAAAGCTCCAGAAATTAAAACAATGAATTCAAAAGACAGAAAAGGTGCCAATAAGCATCAGCAAACCAAGTTGGCACCAATGATTAATGAAGCAAATCCCAATAACCCCAGTTAATCAAATTTAAAATATCTCCCAAATCCTTGTATCTAAAGAAAAACATTAAATTGAGGAAAGGAAACAAAAGAAATTACCATAGAAAAACTATCCCTCACTAGAGGGGCAACAGTCCATTTACTAGTTTCCTGCAACCAAAAGAAACAATATTATAAAAAAAAAAAAAAAAAAGGTCAATGAAGAATTGAAATTCTATGACATTACTGCTCTGAAGCACACAAAAGAAAACTTGAGTTGCTAAAATATGTATGTATTGTGCACAAATTACCATCTCCTTGGAAAGAGGACCAGCACAATGATGGCATCGCAAATTGCTCAGTGTGTTGGGATCAGCAGTGATCTCTTTAACTTTCATTTTCTATTTCTGTGTGTTAACAACCACTTAAAATTCAAAAACTATATTAAAGCTTGAAATGCCAAATTATAAGATGGAGTAAATCACCTCAAATATTGTCTGCACTAAGATTTGCAGTCCTGGGGTAAGGTTAGGTGTGAGATTACTAAGAACGCATGATAAATTGTTTGAAAACTAAAATGAATGACATTAACCCATTAACCCATTAACCCATGCCAAGTTGAGTTGTAAGAATTCCAATGCTTTAAACCACAACTTTAATCCACTTAGATCAAATATTAGATAAAGATGAACTTAAATAAAAAATATATGTATATGTAATTAAAAAAAAAAAAAAGGGGCCACTCTCCACTTTCAAATCCATAACTCCTTAAAATGTTTCAGTGATGACTAAAAGAAATGAACCACAAAGAGAATTCTAACATGAGAAAACTCTTCAGGTATTATAAGGCAAGACCTCAATATATTTAATCAGTATTTAAATGACATAAACTAATTAGTAGATCAGTGTCTCATGCATATACCTTTAATAAAATATGAAAAAAAAAGAAAAGAAAAAAGGAACATGTTGATTATAACAAAATTGGGGAGCAACACAAATTTTCTTTACTACCCCCCAGAATAACGTCTGAGACATTGAACAAACTCCAGAGACAGAATTAATGAATATACCTAGAATCAAAACTCAATCTCACTTTAAATTATTGGTTAACTAAATCTCAGCATCAAATTTTGATTTCATCTCAAAGAATTATAAGAGATTATCACAGCTATCACAAGAGTAGCAATGCAAGGCAAAACAGCAGCAGGTCAATTTCACGGGAATTAGCCAAATATCAACAGTGAGCATATCAGTTCTAAATTGTTCCTTAGTGATTTTCAATCGGATACCTCAGCGTCTTCTCGATTGTTCTGTTCCTTCCCCAGTCGGCAAGTGACTAGGGAGCTCAACCTTCTTGTTCTCGATCCGTCTCCTCTTTTCTGCTTTCCGTGGCTAGGTTCTGCGGACGTGGTTCCCTTTTGGCAGCTTCGGATGATCTTCGAGGCTCCTAGAATCGCCGCTCTCACGAACTCTCTTCTCGGTGACTGGGCTCGGTTAGGGTTCCTTCCTAATCGTCCGGTGGCTAGCGTGTGGCTGAAAGGCGGCAGCGAATAAGCAACCAGGGACGGAGCTAGTGTAGGACAAGGGGGGGCCGCCGCCTCCCCTAAGCTTTTGAAAAATGTTAAAACATGGTAAATCAATTTTTATTTTCTACAAAACTTTATATTTGAAGATAATTTGAATTATAGGGATTATTTAAGTATAAAAAAATATTTAAGACTTAAATAAAGGAATTTTTTATGATTAATTTTTATAGAAATATGATAATTTTATTTAGGTAAGAATAAAT